CCACCTCAGAGCAGGGTTTGTGTGGCTCCGGCACACTCGCAGCCCGCCCGGGGACATAAAAGGGGCAGGTGTCTGGCAGCAGTTCCACAAGCGTCGGTGTAGCCCTGCCCTCCCACCCCGGCTTTTCTCCAGCGCTCAGCATCAAAGCACCAAAAACTCCATCCCAGGGCTACAGGGGGTTCTTGAAAAATCTTTAGAAATCCTGAAAAGGAGAGCAAACCAACATTTTTCAGGAATTACCACGCTGCCTCTTCTGCGAGGAAAGGGAATACAAGATACTTCGAGGCTGACGGCAAAGCCCTGGGCCGAGGCCACAAGCTGTCAGCAGCCCGGCTCTCTCCTGCCTCTCCCAGAGACACACACACAGAGCCGGGCTGAGGTGCGCTCTCCAGGCTGCGCACATACGAACACCAGCAGCCCGATGAAGACGGGCACAGGCGCCACTGCCACCAGGCTTTGCAGCGTGTGAAAGATGGCGCCTGGCCGTGGAGGCTGCTGCGGGTGCCAAGAGTGGGCCCCGCTGCCCCTCACTGCACCCCGGGTGCCCCGGCAGCTCCCCACTGCTCGCTTGAGCAGCGCTTCCTCTTCCCTCCTGGCTGTTCCGAAATTGTACTCGCACACTTCGTAACCCTGCTCTCAGAGAGGTGGTGGACGACCTCTCTGTGCTTCTGAAGAGGGGAAGACAAGGAGGGACGCTTACAGAGAGCATCGCAGAGCAGAGGGGAACAGGAGCAAAAGCACAGAAGAGGGAGCGTGCTGTGGGGGACCTCGGCAGGGAACCGGGGTAGAACAACAAGGCTCACCCAGAAAGGAAGGAAACAGCAGAGAGAGAGGAAAGAGAAGCAAATGAGCTTCATGAAAAAGCACATTAAAAACACCATTGACAAAGAAAAAGATGAAAAGGAGGGTGATAGAGAACAATAAGCACTACAGGCATTTCAAGTTACTTTTTTTTAATCAAATGAAGTTTGATGCAAAAATATTATGTAAAAACACATGGTTATACCTTTAGTATTAGGAGCAAGCAAAGAAACAAATGAGGACTAGAAACTGGGGAAGGATGTATACAAATGAAAGTTGGGCATGTTGTACAGTCACACAGAATACAAAGAAAAACCTCTCCCTTTTCTATCCCTCCATATCTATCTAGTGCCGTTTTCCCTTCCGCTGTTCTCAATTTTTCTACAGACCTCTTAGTTATGCTTGATTGCTACACTTCCCTCCACCCTTTTCTGAGTTTTCAGACATCTTGTAAACTACAGTCTAACCAAAAGTGCAGAGATAAAAATTAAGGTAAGAAAAACCTGATTATAGACAAGAAGTTTCTGACAAATACCCAAGTCATTAATTACTAGACTACCTGGGGGAGGGGTTATAAAGTTATTTTCTTAGTTTTACTTGCAAAATTTTTGTGTTCTATCTTGTACTGAAAGAGTTTCCTTAGTACTTCCTCTCAAATGTTAAACAGGTTCAGAACTTCTTCTGAGCAAAATAGCTTTGTAATGCTGGAAACACTTACTAGAAAGTGATATATTTTAATCAATTCAATTTCCACTACACAAAGATGAAAAACGTACTGAAATTACTTTCTTCCTCATGTACAGCATATTTTTTTTTTACTTCTGCATGTATCTTTACTCCTCTAGGACAATGGAACAAGACTTGGAAATTAATATCTCTCTGAAAAAAAATTTGAAAGATTGGAGTATGCACACCTTGTTGTGTCTTCACTTTAGTACTAAAATATTCACTGTGAAATAAAAGCTTGTCTGATTTTATGTTGATTATCTTGCACACCCCAAATATGATAGGGCAAAAGAGCATTATCTTGTCCTCCATTTTGCATAGGTACTCAAAGAGTTATGTAAGGTCTTACAGGAAAAGAGAGACTAGGCAAGTCACTATGCAAAAGTAATGATCTACAAATATTTCAAGCTATGAATCACATTCAATTCTATTTACTATCCCTTTGTTACATTTGGGTTGAAGTAGAAGCTTCTGAAATATGCAGCTTCTATAGAGTATCCAGAAAAACATCAGAGATTAAACTCAACAGGCCTAGCCAAGGCTTCTAGTTGTGTGGCTTCTCTCTATAAAGCAAAATGTATAGAAAGATCCCTAATTCAACAGCAATGTAATAAAATTCATGTAAGTCAGTCTTGTATATACAAGAAAACAAATGGTCCTGCACTTCTGCCGATAAGAAGGATGAGGTCCAGCAGCAGACAAGACATTGGGAGTCACTGGCTCTGCGCTGTAAGGTTAGCACAGCGGTTGAGCTCTAATCTCCAAGATCTGCAGATCAGACTCGCTCACATGTGAGGGGAGCCACATGTCTTCCAAGAAAGAAAAGCCTGGTAGGGGAAGGAAAAACCGGAGGAGCCTGGCTCTCACTTGTGTTCCGCTCCCTTAGTCAGTACAGGTGCAAAGCACTTCAGTAATTTGGCTCTGCAAACTTTATCAAGTACAACAGATAAGATATATCCCATGAGACTAAAATCTTGCAGGAAGGTTAATACCTAGGAATGTGGACAAAGAGCAGAGAACTGAATCATCATATTCAACCGCTGTCTGGCAGAACAGGAAGACTGCTAACACACAGCACCTTACAAAGGCCAAAATCTACACCTACAAAAATGCAGATAGCAGGCAGTTCTTTTTATAAACTCAATTTCCAATGCATTCTTTAAAATTTACCTTAGAAGAGATAGGGGATTAGATTCTTTGCATCCTTTATTAATTTTCAAGCATGGAAATGGATCTCAAAGAAATATACACCACATAAATAAGGACAACTTATTAAGACAGCATGCTTGATTGTTCACCTTGAAAAAGGCTGGAAATTTTCAATTCTTTTTTTTTTTTTCTCTCTTCATGCAAGTTGAAATAATCTACAAGGTCTGACAATCCCCTTCTCTACTTAATTTTTAAAAGGAAAAAGTGCATACTTCTACACTTGAAATACCCCATGGTACATGGTAAGTACTGCATAACAGTTTCCTCTCTTCCCTCCATCCCCACTGTGTTAGTGTGTTTGCACAACGGTAGGACAACAATCACCAGATTTCAAAAACCACTCAAAGGTCTGGGGTAGCTTTTAAAAATAAATAAAACTATTTTGTCAGATAGAGAACAGGTTTTTTTGGTGGATAATTTATAACACAAATTCATAAATATGATCACATTAAATTTCCTAAAAATCTATACAAATACAAGTAACACCACTTCCCTTGTAATGCATGGATTTCAAGTAATTACACAAAGCTCTATTAGACAGCCTTTCACATACAAATTACACAAAATTACAGACATATGCAGTAACACTTCAGGGATAATATAATGCTTCTGACTACTTAATGGTCCCAAAATAACAAAAGTAATTCAAAAAAAGCTAGTTTTCAGTTTAATTGTTGGAGTGGAATGTACTGTGGGTGGTGGTTGCCTAGCAGCTGCTTTTGCTTTGCTGGCCTGACTTGCTCGGACTGCAGTTTCTAGACGTGTTTTTAATTCAGGAGCAGCTCCCACTACTGTCTTGAAAGCATGTGGGTAAAGTGGACCAATGTGCATTAGATTCTGAAGTGCAAATTCATGAAGATCCTTCGATGCTGCAGATGCAGAAGCAAAGGCATTTTCATTCAGTAAATAGGAGATCAGCGTGGGAACAAGAAGAGCAAGCAACTGGACTCCTAGAAGTGAAAGGAAAAAAAAATATAATGTAATAACCATATCAGAGAAGAAAACAAAATTAATTTTATCAGTTACTAGACTGATAAGGGTAATTTTGTTTTCAGAATTGACAATAAACACTATAATTAAAAAATGATAAAATAAAAAACAACTGAGACATAGATTGTTTCCTGTCCTTTGTCCACTCACATCTTTTTTACCAGGATTGTGTTTCAGACTTCTATTATTGTTCACCACAGTTATTTTATTCCTGACACTTCTTTAAAGATGCCTTTGCACCATCTGATTGAAGATCACTGGTAAGAGATCATAAGATGTAGAGTGCCTATCATATTAAAGGATTTCAAAACACTCTTCAGGCTGACAGAAACACGATTCAATTGAATCCAAGTATCAGCCTGCCCAGGGAGTATAACAGAAGCACTATTAGCATGCAGGTGTTGATGAGAAAGTCAGCAACCGTCACCTGCTATATCATTCCATCCTGGAAGATTCCAATCCAACCACTAGCACTGCAGCTACACTTGGGCTAGCACGACCCACTGAGGCCACAGCCCAAAACGGCACAGGGGTCAAAAGGGTTTATCTTTAGAACAAAAATGCACAGGCAATAGGGCTAATTTTTGTATCTAGCAAGGATACAAGTATGCCTTTGAACTGTGTAACATATTAATTGCAAATTTTAATCTCAAAGCACTTGAACATTAAGGGTAACTCATTTATCTAAAATTTCATAGGTTATCAGAGTATTAATGATTTTCCCCTAAAGGTTTTGACTGAATTCATATTCATGCAGTCACTGTCTTCAGCCAGCATGAGGAAAAAAATAGATATTTTGTCATTTGCTTCAGGTACTCTCTCAAGCAACCGTGCCAGAAGCAGAATGGGGCTCAAGAAAACATAGTGGTTTATCATCAATGAAGAGAAATACCAACAGGGAGCATGTTGGGGAGGGAACCACACAAAACCAACAGTACTATTTTTAAAAGGATCTTTTATCAGCATTTAAAGCCAAATGTCTGCAGAGTAAGCCTTTAGAAAATGCATTTTTCACTTACAGAATAACTGAACTTAAACTATTAATACTGTATTCTATCTACTGAAGCAAACAGGAGGCTCCATTTACAATCAAGATATTCTGACCACTACAATTCAATTTCTTGGGCCTTTTAGATAAACTTTGTTGAGCTGGTAGAAGCAACCTGATAAAAGTGATGAGCCTGCTAAAATAAATAAAAATTAACAATGGGAAAAAGTAAATTTAAACAGTGTGAACTACTCATATACAAAGAGAAGAAAATATCTCTCACTACTGCAGTTTGTGTTTAGAATTTTTTTTCCTGCAATCACCAGAAATGCAAAAGCTACAGCATATTATACTGTATATTGTACGGGTCAACGTATAAAAAAGTTCTAGTACTAAAATTACAAAAGCATGTTGCACAGAGACGTGGTTTATTTGTGACTATGCCGCCAAGTTCCTAACTGCAAGATTTCTAATGCTCAATATTCTATTTTAGCACTGCACATTTATCTAAAAAAACCTAAATACTTACTATTCTGCTCCTCACCAAGGGCAACCAACGTTTCAAGGACTTTAATTCCTTCCTGAACTGCTAACAGCTCCAGGTTGTTGTTCGGGCGGCTCCTTTCCACAGCTTTCAACTTCTCAACCATGATAGGGGCCAATGAATGAATATATGGAGTTGACAGGGCACGATTGGTGTGTTGGAACACAGAAAGCAGAAGCTGGTAACACTTGGCTTGAACCTAATCAAATCAAGATAAATACATTGTCCTGAAAGTTATTTGTTAACTTGGGGAATTCTAATAAACTCTGTTATCTATGTATGTGAGATACACGTGATTAAAAAAAAAATACTACTAAAGGGAAAGGAAACATACTGAATAAGAGGAAAGCGGCAACACAGCCCATCTGCTAAAATAATATTAGCCCCGTTTTCAATAAAAGGAAGGCCAATTAGAAAGAAAATTCAGGTACTAAATAGTAGTAACAATATGAGCTCAGAGAAAATAAAGGAATAGTTAATGTCATTCAGGTCAGTCACACAGGTCCACAAAGAACTACACCTTTAAGCCTCAGAACTACCAGCACTAACAGTAAATCTATCTGCAAAATCATGAAATGCTATTCCAATCTCAGAAGGGTAAACAGCCTACAAAAATGACAGTTAAAGTTATTGATCTAACAGCAGCCAAGGCTGAAGCCAAAAGTGGCAGGCCTGTCCTTCCTTCCTTCTTATTCTCCATCTTGTGCTGGTAGTAGCAGCGAAGTATACATGTAGCCATACAGTGAGAGCTGTAACACAGAACCCTCTACTTGTCTTCCTTCTATGTTCTTTTCCCCCCACTCCCTCTTTCCTCTGGAATGCAGGGATTATTAAAATCAACATTTGGGAAAACGACTCACTGATGATCTTGTTTAGATAAACTTATGAATGCATTTTATTTGGTTGTACAAAAATATTTCTCCAAAATCCCACACAAATAACTCCGAAGTTTTGAAAAGGTAAAGCCCCGTAACAAATACGAGGATAAAACATTGCACATGCTTTCAGACTGCACTCAAGTCCAAACAGGATGAGTTACTGAGCATATGCTGAACAGAAACTCTCTAGAGGAAGTATTATTGAACACAGTGATCTGTGAGGAGATCTGGGGATGACTGGAAACACAGATGTATAAATAAAAATATTGAATAAAAATGACAGCTAATAAAAATAACAGTAAGAAAATATAAGTTAATATAAGTTATGCAGCTCAGGTCATTGTTGATTCACTAGTTCATGGCTACAAGTTTTCTACACAAATCAATTTTTAGAGCCTGAAGTCATAACACTTCGTCTAATACCATTTTTATGCTTTCTAACAAAGCTCCCCAGAAGAACATTTATCCTAATACCTTACTCAGCATCATCTTCAACCTGTTTCAACAAATTACTCCTCTATATACCACTCCAAATAATTCCCTTCCCTTTCTATCTACATTCTTTAAACTTTACTCGTTATTAGAGCTTAAGATTATTAGCCTTTGAAATAAGGTGTAAAAGTCTCTTCTTACATGGATGCATAATTTAAGTAAGAGTTTTATGTCTGCACCTGAGAGCAGAATTTCATCCAAGCTTCTTTTATTCCATCAATATAATATAATATAATATAATATAATAT